GGTAAAGAGTGAAAAAAATATCTTAGAGGGGAAAAAAAAGTTCTCTTTAAACAGTAAAAATAATCATGTGATCTTTGTATTATGTGTACATGGTAATGCTCTGAAATAGTAGCATGAAAAATGGTGGTCTTTTGATTACTGTTTGCTGGTGATTATTTTCTGAGAGTGGACACTTCTTTCATTGCATAGTATCTTGTAAAAAGAAAGTGCACCTTTCCTGGGATAACTGATGGGTTTCACTATCACACTTGAGCAAAGCAGTTTTGTTTATATAGGTGTATATACATTTCTGCTATTTCTATTACAGATTAAGTTGAAAATATATTTTAAGTAGCTCATTCTTCATTCATTATTTCTTATGACATCCTGTAATTTATTTTAGGTGAGATGTGTTGGTGAGAAACCCACACAGCTACTGATTAAACATACATGACACATAATACCATGGCTCTTATGATCATGGTAAAAAAAAAAAAAAAAGTAAATTTTAAGAAACAATTACATTAGCCACAGCAAAGATTTGGAAAGGTTTTATCCTGAAAACAGTTAAGGTTCTTGTTTGGTTTAAAAATTCATAATAAAATGTAACACCTTTAGGATAAAGTGTTCATTTTACATAATTGCATTCAGTTTCTATTTTAGTTTTCATTTTTTGTATTAGATTCTAAATAATAAAATATTTGCAAACTGTTGATTTCCTTGTGTATTCCTCTTTCTTTAGCTAAATTAACAAATATTCTAAATATCTATTTTCATATATTAATTAGGCCTTAAAATAAGGTTGGTTATACTCTTGAATTCTTGTAAATAACCACAAATAGATAATCACCCTCTAAGCCCTTATAAAGAAATAAATTATATGTATTTATTTAGGCAAAGTAAAAATTATGTAAAAATTTGAAAAGTGTCTCTATTTCTAAAATTATTTAGTTAGAGCACTGTGGTTCAAGGACAGTTTTGTTAGATTTGGGCCTATTGATGTTCCTTATGTCACTCCAATTCAAGGGCAATGATGAGCACCCAGGCCATGGCAAACACTCTATCAGGGTTGGACAGCCTCTGAAGATGCAGAAAACACAGACCTTGTTTCTTAACTACAATCAACTGGATCTGTGTGCTGAATTAATTATTATCTGGTATAAACAACAGGGAGAGATAAAATGACACAGCAGGGTTATTTTTAATTTTGTTAAATTGTTCTTCCTTAATTTTTTATTTTAATTTTTAATTTTTTTTATTTCAGGAAATTATGGGAGTACAAACATTTTGGTTCCATGTTGTGACTTTGCCACTTCCCAAACATGATTTGAGGCATGCCTTTTCTCCCCACTACCAAGCTCACCACGTCATCCATTAGTTGTGAGTTTACTCATCAGAGATTGATACCAAGATTTTTTTTAATTCTGCGCAATGAAGAGAGAGTTCTCAGAAGAGGTGCCATGTTTTTCCAAGCTTTCAGAAATGGGGATAATTTCAACAAGTGAAAATAGAAGTGGGGAGAAGATTCTAGGCATACAGTAAAGCACAAACAAATGCACAGGGTTTTGGAAGCACATGGCTAATTTGGGGTACAGTGATCTACAAAGGTAGAGAAAGGGTAGAATGAGATGAACCCAGAAAAATGGGATACAGTCATGATCCTCATCATGCCAGTAATAGCCATCTGGCAAATTTCTGTCCTTCATAAGAACAAGTAAACTGGCACAAACATCACCCTTGTATGGGGTAGGAATGATGGAGATGGGGATGGGGTGTACAGCTCCAACTCAATATACATTACATTAAATAAATTATAAATATAAATTAATTACAAATTAATTATAAATAAATTACTACTTAATAAAATATTAAAAAGGAAGAAAAACTACATTTAAGAAATGTACATTACCCTTCCCCAAAATACAAAAAGTGGAGGTTTTTTGTGTTTTTTTTTTTTTCTGTTTGCATATACATCAAAATGCATTCTACCTGGCAGTACTGGCAGTATATTTAAAATTTCTATGCTTTTTATTTTTTTAATCCCAGGGGGCTAAGATCTCATCCACCTCAAGGTCTTTACACAAACATTTCTGCTCCTGCCTTCTCTGAAATCCTCTGCATCCTTCCCACAGGTCAGCCCTCAACCTGTGGATCCTAGTGTGGCCAATCCCAACCACCTCATCCAATTAGATTCCTCTCTCCACTACTCTCACCCCTGTAATTCTCTACCTTGGCCCTCTTCATACTTTATAGAACTTTGAATTTTGTATTTTCTTATTTATTTGTTCTTTTCCATATGCAATGACTTTCTACCCCATGTTTGTAAACATCATGAGGGAGGAACTTCAACTGCTCTGTTCACTGCTGTATGTATAATACCTGCAACAGGGCCTCACAGATTGTAAAGATTCAATAATTGTCAAATTAATGATTTTCAAACATAAGAATAGATAAAACTGAGATAGATATAAAACTGAGATAAGAATAGATAAAACTGTCATATTTAAAAGTTATAGCTTTAAATTAACAAATAACATTTAAAAAATATCTTGGGGGCTGTTCCTATATGTGTAAAAGAGTGGGTAAAACAGATAAAAATGCTTGAAAATATTTCCTGAAATAATATATAATTGAATAATTAAATAGCTATACATAATAATATAGAATTGTACCACTATATGTCAATGTATGATTTACACAATATAAAGTTTTAACATTTGATTTGCTTAAAATTAGTAACACTAATAAATTAACTGATACTCAAGAGATTTATCTATATGTTTCTTCATTCTTATATATACAAGAAATATAAGAAGAACAAAACATGATTCTGATGAAATTTCCTTCTAATCTATATTCTCTTCCATTTTCAAAAATAAGGTAGCAAAAGTGATTTTGCTATATTTCCTTCTAATCTATATTCTCTTCCATTTTCAAAAATAAGGTAGCAAATACATTTTTCTTATCAATCATTGATACATGCCTATCTTTTTCAATTCAGGGATACCAAGAGAGGAGTCAGGATTGAAAATAGAGACATAAACCATTAGGAAGCTCAGACGTCTTTCTGTACTGGGGGAAAAAAAAGTTTACCTTGGTCTTAAAATTCATTAAGTGTTCTCAGGAGGGAATATTAGGGGGAAAAAATTCATTAAGTGTAAAGAAAATCCTGCCTCATCACCCAATATGACACAACACATTTATTGTTAATATTTATAAAATAAACTACTGGTTATATATTTAAAGCACATAATAAGTTTTAATAATTGCTGATATTAAAATAAGCTTATTTTGAAGAGAATGTGTTTACTTTAAGAAGACAGTAAATTTAGAGCTCTATGAGGTAAAGACTGTATTCTAAGAGATAATTTGTTTGGTGCCATAAAGGGAGAAGCAAACAATTCAAGACACAATTCTTGACTCTCAGCAGTAATTAAAACAGTTGAGCCAGTCTCATAGCACAGAGGTGGGCTGCATATGTCTCCAGGCTAACGTGGAAAAATAAAATTCATTTTTCTTAATAGCTTCCACCCTACTCTGAAAATATCATTGCCCCCAAGTTCTCCATCTAGAAGTTTCTCCTATCACATTTATATGATTTTATTTCCCTTAGAACTTCCACTCTGATTTTCCTCAGATGTTTGCCTGTTAAGCTTGATACTAAGAGCAAGTACTCTCCAATTTCTTATTGTGACAATGAGCAATTGTGCTTTTGAAACATTTAGGATTGACCTTAAAAAAAAAAACAAGCAATAAAACTTTTGGTTATGAATTTGTTACTGTGTGGACAAACACACAATCACGTAGAAACACATGTGTAGCATCTGCTTCTATTCCCTGGCTTTGGAACAACCGGGCATTTAATACAAATACAGCTGGGCACCGAGGATGTAATGTACTGGGCAAACATATACTCCCATTAACGTAAATATATTCTTCACTGTTTCCTGCCAAGCCCACTTGCTTCTGAAAAGCAAGCAATCCCCATTTCTCCCACAGAACATCTCACATGCTCTCAAAACAACCACCCTTAGCAACTGGATGTGGAGACAAGCACAGAGAGACAAAAGCGGCAGGCTCCATCTCCCGTGTGGGTTGCCTCCTCAGACCCTGACGTTTTAAAGGCAGCAAAAGAAGGTCGTACTAGGCACTAGTTGTTCTTCGTAAAAACAAACAAAAAAGCAAACAAACAAACAAAAAATCCTATAGTAAAGCAACTATTCTAGTTATCTTTATGTAGTGATGGCTTGTTTTGCTTCGTGTAATTCGCTAGTTTTCTATTAAAACTGACACCTATTAGGGATTTATACCTCCCCAGCCTTCCCTCCCCCACTGTGCACTCCTTGTTTAGACTCACTGTGCCCCTCTCCCCATCTCAAGATTTGACCGGGGGGCTTCAGAGCGCTCAATGCTGCCCACTAACCAGCTTTTTGGTAAATCTCAGTTGAACTAGTCCTTAATTCACAAGCACCCTCCACTCAATTCTCTTGCGCCAGCCCCTGCTGAGGGCGCCGTGGGGATCACAGCACTTCGCAGGGGTCTGGGAACCCAGGAGGCTTTCCAGGAGACCTGGGAGGCCAAGGGAGGCCAGGCACCCAGAAATTCCTGACACCCAGAATCAGACCGGGAGCAGAGCGCCCTGGGGCGAAGCGGGAAGATCCTTCCTCAGCGTCCTAGAGTCAGATGCGACCCTCTTGGGAAGCCAGACTCTAGGGGTAGAAACATTTGCTAGGGCTCAGCCAGCAGGGGACTCAGAGCAAGAGCCAGCCAGCGTGGAGCGGGCCAACTTGCCAGCTCTTGGCAGGGCTGAGTTTTCAGTGGCTACAGGTTGCCTGAGAGCAGATTCCCAGATCCCCGCGGACGGCGATGGGAGCGCTCTGAAGGGAGACCTGGGGGGTTGGGGAGGGGTGGACACGAGGGACAGAGGGACGGAAGGAGGGAGGGGAGCACGAAGAAGCTCCATCCAGGCGGGGACAGGGGAGACATCTGAGGCGCACCTCCCGGCAGTGACCCACACAGACCTTGGCGCCGCAACCTGCGCTTCTTGAGGCCGAAGATGCGCACTTTGGAGAAGATATCCACCAGGTTGCCGTTGCAGAGCCCGCGGTTCTTGCTGGGGCTGCTCCGCCTCCTGCTGGCAGACAGCCGGTCCCAGTGCTGCTCCCGCGCCTGTCGCTTCTGGCGGATCAAGCCGCTGGCGATGGCCGCGGCCATGGTGGCCCAGGGAATGGGTCCGGGGAAAGAAGGGGACAGAAGGAAGGGAAGCTGGGGGCCCAGGAGAGGAAAGGGGCGGCGTAGACCGCGACGCACCCTCAGAGAAGTAGAGGGGGGGTGTCCGGGGGGGTTGGGGAGAGGGTAAGGGCGCTCAGTCCCCACTAGGACCCATCGCCCTCTCCGCGGAGCGCGGGGCCAGGCGCGCAGATGCGCCCAGGGCGCAGAGGGACGAGCCGCGGGAGCCTCAGGTCGTGGCCGCTGCCGCTTGGCTGAGTCCGCGTCTAGAGCGGGCACCGCTGCTGCGGGCGCTGCCGGTCACTGCGCGCCGCTGGAGCCCTCTCAGGGGTCGCCACTGCCGCTCGCGCTGCCTTCTTGCCCTGCCCGCCTCCCGGGCGGGCGGGAGGTAGAGCCGGCGCTGCTTGCTGGGCACGGGCTGGAGGGCAGGTCCCGGCAGTGTCTCAGCGCGGCCGTCTGTCCAGGGCTCCGGGCAGGACTCACAGCCCGGCTCCGGCTGCCCCTGGGCCGGTGCGGCCGCCGGCGCCGCCCGCTCTAGGCTTCTGCCCGTGATTGTCAAGTGCTTTGGAAATCAGCATCTGGAGAGAGCAATCTTCTCCCCTGAGATCCTCAATCAAAGCGCTCCGTTCCCACCCCACTACACTCCCACCACCTAGGTGGTCTCTCCCCTGTGTATCTCTTCAGAAAGAAAAAAAGTATATATGATAATGATTAAAATAATAATAATAAAGAAAGCTAAAATGGATTGCAGGGGCGGGGTGCCAAGAGGCTGAGCCAAAGCAGGTGGAATTGGAGGAATATCGGTGCGCTTTTTCTTAGATGAAACTCGCCGGTACCCGAGGCTTCCGTGGCTTAGCTGAGGCTTCTCGGTCTTAACGTGGCTCCTGGTCCACAGAAACTCCCAGCAGCGGTTGAAGGGCGAGGTGGTTTCCGCCCTCCCCGCTAATCCCTTCAGCACCAAAGCCCCCCCCACCCTGGGGAGGAGGGGGGAGGCCGGGAGGGAGGAGAGTGTGTCCCGAGGCGGAGGGAGGTGCCTCCACTCCTCACCTAGTCCACCCAAACTTGCTGGACCCTCCCTCCTGCTGCCAGGAAGGGTAGGCTTGTCATTCTGAAAGGAAAACACGGAGCAAAAAGGAGGGAAGGGGAGAAGGAGAGATGTGGTGAGGTGGTGTGGAAAGACCCCGATCCCAAATCTGCTCCCAGCACTTGGAGGAGGAGATGGCAGCCGCTGTAGCTGCTACAAACAGCAGCTGGATGGGATAAACGCCCAGGAGAATATTGGGTAGAAATATTAAGGGAGGAGGGGAAGGTGTCACAGTATTCCAGTACAGCGAAAAGCAGCCAGACTGAGGACACTCAAATTTGAGCTGTCGTCTTTGGGTGTCCCTGGGTAGAGAAGCTCTGTCAGGACCAAAGCCGTATGAACTGTGTCTAAAATTTAAGCACAACAGCTGCTGCCTCTTCGCCTGGATTTCCTGTCTGTGTTCCGACGGTGTTCTGTCTTGGATAACTGAAAAGATGAAGGTCCAAGGGAAAGGGAGGGGGGAGAGGGCACCCCCACCCCCAAAGAAAGGAGGTTGGGAGAGAAACACTTCATGCTTGGATGAATACAGATCTGTGGTTTCTAGGATACACCCAGAGTGACAGAACCAAGTGCAGCTTCATACTTTCCCCCCTTCCCTCTACACTGTTTGGCCTATCATCGCAGGAAGGCAGAGAAACAGAAATGCACAAAGGAGACTTCTCCCAATTCAGGGTGAAGGATGGGTGAAAAAGACTCATTTGGTAATCAGGAGACTTGTAAAAAATCTTCTTCTCCAGTGACTGCTCTAGAGCTAGAAAGAGGGCAGGCACACTACACAGGCAACCCTGGGAGCAGTTCTGAACCAAAACATACTTTCTCTTTGTCTCAGAAATAGGCAGTAAAGTACTACAAAGACTCGCCACAAGGCAACTGGGAGAAGTGCAGCTGAGAGCCCAGTTACAGGGAGGCTGGACTCCTTCTGCTCTACACAACTTCTCCACACCCGCTCCATGTGAGCAGCTGCTGCTTAGCTGCTATTCTTTATGTTTACTCCATAGTTACCAACAAGGCTCCTTTGGGGAGGAGAATTAAATCTAATTGGAGCATATAGATTTGAATATAATGCAGATATCATTGGCTCTAGAATGGTGTATATAGTATTTACTATTAAAGAGCATATTTAAGTTTATTTTCTCCACTTTGCTGTTTCATCTACAAAATAGCACAATTATTAAAAGGAATACACCAGAGTTTTTTTGCCAGAAATTTCCAATCCTGAATGGCCCCTTGAGATAGTACAAGTGAGAAAAAGTGGCATGCAAATTATTTTGTTGTGCCTATTTTCTGTTTCATATGTCTCTGTTCTCCCCCTTTGGGTGTGTGTTTATTAAATATATTGTGTTGCCACGCCTCTGCTCAAAAAGGGAAGACCATCTATAGAAAGATGAATGTACTTAAAAAAATGACTATTAAAGTATGTCTGTTTTTTTTAAATCACGAAATAAGTCCTACTGGACATTGAGTCACTACTATTCTTGGATTCTGTTATTGAAGAGAGGCCATTTGGACATTTCAGAAGTTCTAGATTTGAATTTCTGAAAGACTATATGGTTAAAGAATACAGGTTTATCTAAAGCTTCTAGTAGTGAGTTTTTGAATAAGTAAAATGTTAAGCATAGTGACCACTTAAATCTAGTGCAACTTCCCCAACTAACATACCTAAATTGTTTTTAAAGATTCTTTTAAAAACCTTTTGATGTATGTGAAACTATATGAATTTGAACACAGTGAGATTAAGCTTATTGTTATTATGGCTGTGTTAATTATTCCCTTTCCAGTCATTTTCTTATGCTGCAGTCTTTCCCCCAAATCCTTGGGTTGGTGAATCACGGAGGTCCGTTTGGGCTTCCTCAGCCCCCTCCCTGCATTATTCAGCAGTGTCCGGTCGGGGCAGGGATTCAGCACCACGGACAGGGATCATGCCCGAGCCTTACCTCTCTGAGCGGAGCAAGTTCCGCGGTGAAAAGCGCGGAATCCTCTGAAATATCAGAGGATCTCTGATATTTCCCTTCCTTAAAAGCAGTTTCTTTTCCCTCGACCCCCACCAAGGTGGAGAGGAAATTAATCCTCACAGCTTCCACTGACATTAATAACACACCTTAGAGCACAAAGCTTTTCAGCTTTTCGATAACTGAGAAATACTCCTTTCTTGAGTTGAGCATTCTGACCCCTGGCTCAGCACCTGGAACAGCGGACTCCCGAGTCTCGGGGTGTCTATTCAGACCGTGAATTTCAGGCTTCTCAAGCGGTCATTTCTAGTCTATTTGGCTTCCGATTTTCAAAGAGCTTGGTGAGGGGGCAGCATTGGATAACCAAGGTCTTTTAGCTTAATCCTTGCGTTTTCCTTTTACCTCCCCTAAACGCTGTTTGGTTGTTTACAGATGGAGGTAAGTGAAAGAAAACGCAAGAGAGCCATCTGCTGTCTTAAGCTGTGATAAAAGAGTGTGCAAAGCTGGAGTGAAACCTAATTCACAGCCGGGGCACACAAATCCAAACGTTACTGTAATTAAGAAAATAATTTCTCACTCATCAGAACATCATTGATTTTGTTAATTTCACCTTTGACTTTATAAAGACAAATAAATAAATAAAATAAAAATGAAGTATTGCCCAGGTAGTGTAGCTTCTAGTCAAGCTGTTAGGAGTCTGAACTCTGATTTCAGATGCTCTTGGTTCATTTTTTGACACTGCAACTTCCTGGATGTATAACAACCTCCAGTAAGTTTCTTTAGTCTCTCTTAGCTTTAATTTCTTCGACTCCAAAATGAGATGATAACAGAAAACCCTTTTCAACTGTTGTGAGATCAAATTTAGTGAGTGAATGTAAAGATTCTAGTACAATGTCTGTCACATCCTATGTGCTCAGCAAATGACAGCTATTACTGTATTATCACCTTCTGATCACTTATTTCTATCCTGTGTATTTTTTCAATTTCCATATGTTTTATTCAATATCAAAATATAGGTATTCCCAAGTATATTTCCTCATCTCCTTAATGAATGCATGACAAGATTTTAAATAATTGGAAACATAAGAAATTATTTTAAATTTTGGTGAAAGAAGTCCAAATTTAAACTCAGTCATTATTGACTAGATTTGCAAACTTAGCCCTGTAGGTTCCCACCCATTGGATACTGATAATAAATACATTTATCTATTTCTCAGAGATTATTATGAACACCTATGAGAAAATACTTTTAAAAACATGAAGTACCCTACAAACATCAGTATGGAAGATAATTAGTCCACTTGTTTGCTGTGCTTGAAAATCTCCTGAAGATGCCATGGTCCCTTTGGCGCTCTTACTTTGCATATGTTTTTCCCTCTGCCTGGAACATTTTCATTGCTCCTTCTTCATACTCTCCTTGGTAATATAAAACAGTGGCTAAAGCACAATTGGAGTAAGGGAAAGTGTCATTAAGCAATTCAGTTATTCTCCCTGAGCTTCAGTTTCCTCTTCTGTAAAATCGTCATAATAATACAATAAGTTTATTATGAGAATTAAATGAAAACATATATGTAAAACATATAAAGTAGTGCCAGGCACATAATGGGAATTCAATAAAGAGTAGCTACTGCTTCTCACTTAATAATTCATCACTCGGGTCTTCATTTATTCAGGGATCAAGTCTTTATTGAGATCTTCTATGTACATGCCAACACTGTAGACATTAAAACTTAAAAAAATAGCCAGTCTGGGCAACATAGTAAGACCCAATCTCTAAAATAGCTGGCATGATGGCATGCACCTATATTCCCAGCTACTTGGGAGGCTGAGGCAGGAGCATCACTTGAACCAGGAGTTTGAGGCTGTGGTGAACTATGATCTCGCCACTGCACTTTAGCCTGGGAGACAGAGCAAGACCACATCTCTAAAAAATTAAAATTAAAAATAAAATAATAAGGGTTTGGGCTATGCCCTCATGGAGTTTATAGCATGGTGTAGGTCTTAGCATAGCTATCTCCTCTGGAAATCTTACCACTCAATCCATCACCGACCACTCCACCCGAATTAATGCTGAATCTAGTACCCCTTCTAAACACTTCTGTAATGTCTATATTCATGCTTAACGCAGCCATGAATTACTCTTCTTTCTCTTTAAACATGTTCTTCCAACCTTCCCCATTTCTGGAATGGCAACTCCATTCTTCTCGTCCTCAGGCCAAAAACTTTGGTATCTTATTAATCCCATTTCTTTCTTTAACACTCCATATATATTGCTTCAAGTTCTATTTACTCTATCTCCAAAACATAAATGTTTGTACTCCCCTAATATTCTGAAATTAAAAAAATGATTTAAAAAATATATGTATATTCAAAATATGATTACTCTCACCGCCTCCACTATTACTTACCACCATTATCTTTTGAACTACTTCAAAATAGTAACCTAAAAATCCTACACCTCAATCAAAACCAGAGGGCTCAGAGTAGCCTACTATGTCCCATATGTTTTGTGCCCCAGTTCTGTCTTTATCTTCTGACAACATCTCCATTTCTTTCCCTTCCCTCACCACTTGATGTTCCTCAAACCACTTGACATGCTCCTACTGCAAGTCTTTATACTTGCTGTTCCATCTTACTCTCACTTCCTTCAATTCTTTGCTCACCTGTTTGCTCACAAATCTATTTAAAATGACAACCCATAGACACAGTCAATCCTTGCTTTCCTGCTTTAAGGTTCTATGTGGTACTTAGAACTTTTAAAATTTCTATATATATTCCTTATTTATTTGGGCTGCCTTCCCTTTTTAAAATATAAGCCTATAAGGGTACAGACTTTGCCACATTTTTTTATTGCCACATATCCAGTGCTTAAAATGATGCCAGGAAAGTAGATTATCAATAAATATTTGTTTATTGAAAGGATTAAGAAGTTGGCTGTATGGATAGACAGTTAATGCCAAATAAGAGGAACAGAAAAATCTTGTTTAACCCAGTCTGTCAAGGATGAATTACCCGATGATGCTTGATCTCTTTAAGCACCATGAAATCTAAAATTCTATCTGGATTACACACAATCTCACTTCCATAAATAGGATATACAGAGAGTACTTTAGCCTTTGTTTGTCAGCTCAGGCCCAACCTAACATGACATGTAGTTTGAGTTCTGAATTCCCACAGTGATACTTTTGGGGCTTACCTTAGCATATGAGATTGATTACATTTGAATCAGAAAGAACTTTACTACTGATCTTTGTGATTCCTCCTCCCTGCCCCTGCCCCCAACACACACATATATACTGTTTTCTCTCTTGCTTTCAGGTTTCCAATTGATAAATTGACAATAAGTTCCTTTTCGAATTTGCTACATTGAATCCATCATAGAATTTGAAACCAGATGAACATATTTGTTAGAATATCTATAAATATAAGAGTGAATGAATTGTAAGTGAGAAGTGTATAAACAAGAAACTGCTTTAGTGATATTGATTTCATTTTTTTCTACTGCCTTCTGAGTTTTTAATATGTTCTAGGTAATTTTCTTGGATAGATTATCTAGTGCATGATTTTTGTGTTTTGTTTCTCCTTTAAATAAAAATATTTTGAAGAACACAGTTTGTACATGGATGTCTATATCAAATTTTATCACTTATTATTTTTCACAAAGTAGTAAACTGATTATTTTTCTTTCATTTCTGCCATTGCCAAAGCCACTATTTCACCTTTCCTAAATTGGTCAAATCTAAAAAAACATTCATTTAAAGATTCACCATTATTTTAGGTACTGCAAAAACATCCCACTTTTTAAAGCTATGTCATTCTATAGATTATAATATGAATACCAATTTTAGAGGTGTTTATACAAAAAAAGTATTTGCATCATAGAATCAATGAAATGTGATATATATTTGATCATTTTCACAAAGTGAGTGAGTCACTCCATTTCATCACATGGTTTCCTTTGTGAATCAATCACTTTTGAAATTCTTAAACATCTCCTAATTAAAGGCAAAATATTAGGGTCAAATGTTATTTTTTCACAATTAAGTTACTATAAACTAATTTGGGTTAAAAAGAATATATTGGCTTTTGTTTTCATCCTCTTTTCTGGATAAATGGGTTCTACTTGAAAATGTAGAAGATACTTCTGAAAAGGTGATCAATATTCATGTCCCTTCTCATTTTTTACTCACTTGGAAGAATATAAAAATTAATGTCAATATGCTCTTGAGACAAATTTTCAACTAATTAATGAAGATTGAATTCTTATTCGGTCACTATAGTTCAAGTTCAAAATCACATTTTATTTTTTTCTGTGATAGTATTATTGATCTTATTTAGATTCAAAGGGTAGTTTAAATGAATATTAAAGTATTTTAAATTAGAATTTCAAGAATTAAGTGATTGCATTAGTATTATAATAGCCTTGTTGGTTAATTTTGCCAGATATATCTATTTCTAGTAGGTAACAGATTTCTATCTAAATAAGAAAACCTGGAAGGAATTTTTATTGTTACTTAATATTTTGATTTGATAAAGAAAAAGTGGAAACTATTGGTACCAAAAAGTTGTGAATATTCTTTCCTATAGATTCAATACCAGATTGATACTAGCAGATGGTTTAGCTTTACAAATTTAGTAAATCTTTTTAATCTCACTAATAAGTTGGAAAAAATATTCTCAGTGGCTTCCAGCCTTCTATATTAAAGGGAATCCAAAATGTGCATAGCATTCAATTCAGAGCTGTGAATATTGACTTATATTTCCTTACTCTAAATAAGCCATGGGAGATTATAATAGAGAGTTTTAATGATAGATCAGTGGATTTTTTTAACATTATTGAATATCTCAACAAAAAAATTACTCAACTTTCATGAAAGTTTGATGAAAAAAGCATTCATTTATAATCTCAATGCACATATGATATAATTTTACTTATATTTATCACTGTAACCAATTTCTATTCAATTATTTCTACAATGGCCACTTTTTTAAGGAATGAAGTGCTCTGGATTGAGATGATGTTCTTTGAATTTAGTATATATCGGTAAAGCATACAAACGTGCATGTCTACACACATGAACACATGCATGCATGCAAAACGCATGCATGCAAAACAAACAACTACATTTCTCATGTTGTCAAAGATAAGTATGAAGCATTAGTTATTTTTTAAAAAAAGTGATTTGCAAACTCCCAGTTAAAGACACTTAGAAACCTGTTTTCATTATACTTTAAGAGTTTAGACACTATCTCTCTAAATTTACTTTTGGAATTTTTCTGCACAATAGTTAAATGGAAATTAATAATAAATTAGAGTGTATATTTCAGTCATAGCTGTTTAAATGTGAACTAAGACTATACCTCTCATAAACATTTAGATGTTTATAAAACATCTAAATAATATTCATAATAATAGTTGGTAAAGAAGTTTTAATTTTAGTGGTGAGTGTCATGATCTCCAATTCTTAGAAGAGAGAATTAAGCCCCAGAGTTAAATAATTGCCAAAATTATACTGCTAGAAACTGAAAGAACCAGCTCTTAAGCTCAAGCTTTTTCTACACACTATCTGCCACACAGCAGTCCCCTGTTTGAAATGTAACTATTAATACCTGTCATAGTATTAAGTGTAAAATGGGGACTCCTATTTGAGGGCCAAGGACTCCCAGCAGCTTCATGGATGGGTTTAGGATGATCTGGGATTTCCTTGAAATCTATACAAAAAAACAAAGGTGTGTGTGCGCACGTTGATAACACCAGGGATCACAGTTTTCATTCAACTGGTAAAGAGATCTGTGACAATAGCAGGAATGAGAACTCACAACTTTAAATAGGGAAAAGACGGAATGTGCACACAACATCCAATACTGTGTTTTCTAATTATAAAAGCAATATATACTCATTGAGAAAATATTGAAAAATGAAAATAAATAATAAATAAGTATTACCCTAATCCCAAAGTTTAAACTTTTTGGAATGTTTTCCCAGTTTTTAAAAAAATAATTTTGCATAAAAATTTGCTCTCATATTTTTGGCACAGTTTAATGACTGAGAAGATACAATTGAGCTAAGGTGAGTGTATCAAACATCATACATTTTAATTATATGAAGTAGAATCCATCAGGGACCACTATATTCTATACTCCCCCAAAAACTTTCTACAGCTAAGAGATCACCTCCTCCTAAGTCATACTGGGCATGCTCTAATATCTGGAATCAAACCTTACCTTAGCCTGCAGGTTTCAGGAAGTCCTCATCTAAATACCAGAAGCCTTGGGGTTCTGGCAATGTTGTTAATCTGTCTCTGATCTTGTAATGTACTTCTAAAAGATGCATGTGAAAGTGATTTCCAAAGTGCATGCATGTGGGAAACATTATAATTATAAATTGATGCCTTCTCCTTGAGCCTAGTTCCTACTTTGTACATAAGCACTGAAAAAATTGATCCTTAAATTATTTCCCTGAGACTTTCTCAGTAACCTATAGTATAAGTTTCCTATTTCTTCTGTCACAAATTACCACAAACTTGGTTGCTTACAAAACCACAAATTTATTCTTTTACAGGTCTGCAGACAGGCAGTCCCAAATCAACTTTACTTGGTTTAAGTCAAGATATCTGCAGAGCCCTTTGGAGGCTTTGAGGTAAGAATACATGATCTTGCTTTTTTATGTTCAAGAAGCCAACTGCATTCCATGGCTCATGGACCATTCCTTGCATCACTCCAACCTATTGCTTCCATTGTCATCTCTCCTACCAATGACTGATTCTTCTGCCTCCCTCTTATATGG